TCCCAGCTACTTGGGAGGCGGAGGCAGGAGACACGCTTGAGCCCAGGAGTTGGAGGTTGCTGTGAGCTGTAATGCCATGGCACTCCACCCAGGGGGACAGCTTGAGGCTCTGTCTCAAAATAAATAAATAAATAAATAAATAAAATAAAAAATAATGAAAACAAGAAGACAGATGACTTGGGAAAGAAATTCAGGCTTCTCAGAAAAAAATTCTGATTAAGCTGAGCTTCCCTATTCACACTGTATTGTGTGGTTTCCTCCCAGAACTTGGACCTCTGACCAGTGTTATCTGTTTCACTCACTCCAACCTACCTGGGGGCTTGAGTAGTGTCTGCTGTGTCTTCACCTTCCAGGGTTCTTTGCTTTGCTCCAGAAAGATGATGAGATCTGGCTTAGAGACAGCAAGACCTGTTTTAGTAGAAAAAAAATTGGGATTCTTCAATTTCCAATCTAATGCCTTGGTGAAGTACAGAAAAGGACATTTTAGAAGATCCTGAAATAATAATCCCAAACAGATTTCCTGGCAGAAACTTCAGAATCTTCAAAAAGTATTTAAAGTTGGAACATTCCTAACTCCTCCACACCAAAACTACTGAAATAAAATTTGGTGCTAGAAATCAGACTTAAAGGTATGAGTAACAATCTAGGCCATGAAATTTCGGAAATTTCCATTAATCTAGTGAAGGATGTAAATCAGCTCAAAAAACGGTAAGATTAATGCTAAAATAAAACAACTCCAATTTTTCTTTTCTATACCAAGATATCCTCAAGTTTTCCATAGAAACAAGAACCTGATACTCAGTCAATGAATAAACTGAATGAAAACCTTCTACGTAGAGAGAATATCAATTGTTTGGTGTAGACCTGGAACTGTGTATATAAGTTGTCCTCACCCAGGAAGACCAGGTGTCTGTAGGTCTCTAACATGACTTCCCGATACAAATGCTGCTGAGCAGGGTCCAGGCAGGCCCACTCATCCATAGAGAATTCAATAGACACGTCCTTGAATGTCAACAGTCCCTGAAAAACAACATATTTACCAAGAAAGCACGGGCATATAGAATTTCACTTTTTTTTTTTTGAGACAGAGTCTCAAGCTGTCACCCAGGGTAAAGTGCCATGGCATCACAGCTGACAGCAACCTTAAATTCTTGGGGTTAAGCAATTTTCTTGCCTCAGTCTCCTAGCTAGGAATACAGGCACCCTCCACAATGCCCACCTACTTTTTTGTTGCCATTGTTATTGTTGTTTAGCTGGCCTGGACCGGGTTCCAATCCACCAGCCTGAGTGTATGTGCCCAGCACCTTAACCACTTTGCGACAGGCATCAAGCCATGAATGTCACTTTTAGTTAAGTTGAGTGAAGAGAACTCCTGCTGACTTATAAGAGTAAATGCAATTACCTAATAAGTATAGAAGGGATATATTCCCTCATGTGTTGTCTAACACAGATGAAAGGAGATAGAATGGCATCCACAAAACCAATGTACACATTAGACATTTTGGGTTGATACAGTAGGAATAAAAGGCCAGCAATACAGGCATGCACAATGTCGTGCCTTATTTACATCATATGTTATAATCTGTGTATGTTTTTTATATGACGATGTCATGATGAGATAAATGGTAACTCTAATGTAGATTTGTTTTTTTTTGGATGATATTGGGTGAAGATTCCGTTTCCTAATTTCCAACAAGCTCAACACAAATGACAATACTTCAGTCCCATGATGATATTCTTTCAAACATGCAGTGAACTGCAGATACTGGATTTACCCCAGTTGATTCCTGAACTGGTAAACAAAGATGACGACCTTTACTTTCCCGAGAAAGGTATATGGAAGAGAATCTAAGAAGAAAGGGGTGCTTCCTCAATAAATGTTTTGATTTGCTCACATTAGTTGATAATCTCCCCAAGTTCTTATTAACAATACAGAAGATGCACTGAACCCTACAATGGAATATGTGTCCAAGAACACTATAACTGAGTGAATAAAATTAACATCAACTGCAACAGGACGAATTAGTATCAGGTGCTGATTCACAAGTGCAAGCCCAACATCACTGTTATAATACTGGCCAGAAAAAGTCAATCATAATCTGATAAAAACTAGTTGAGAAAAACCCAGTTTGGGGAAAGTTCCAGTCACAGCTATCTGGCATGTCTTCTAATCCCTAATTGTGTCTTTAAATAGCCTTCTTTACTATCCCAGAAAGCAAGTCTTTTCTGATTATTCTGTTTATGAGAACTTTGAATTACTCTAGGCTGTTAATGCCATCCTCTGTAAAAGTGCATGGACGTCATCCTATTTTACATAGAACCAATGGAACTTCCAGATACAAGTGAAACAGCACATATTCTCCTTCTTTGCTACTATCCAATGACACAACCTCATTCACAGTGAAAATCTTGGGCATCCACATTTTCCCACTAGAACTTATCAGAGATTTCACACTTTTCCAGTATATGCAGAAAATTATCACATACTCAGATATTTATAGTTAAGAAACAACTACTACCATCAAGATAAAAAGATACATTAGCTATACCACTAAAAACTGAAACTATTAGTCATAAATATAGCAAGCTTAAAAAGTGTCCATTCTGATACATGGACCTGAATAATTCCTTACTTAAATGTAACTTAACCACCTTTCTACCTCATGCCAATAGACACACCAAGCTCCTCTGAAGATAGTTCTTATTATCTGGCACCCAGGGTTTTTCATCTATCCCTGCTACAACACAAGGAAACTTTGTTTGCTAAGATTCATCCTTTTTCTACCCTGGATACAAAACTTTAAGTCCAATTGGTCTAAAGTAACTTAAGATATTAACCTCCCTGAAAACTATAATAGCTGACTACACCTTTTTAGCCCTGCTAAATACACCACTGTAGCCATTTTTGTCATATCAACAGTAGCTATTGGACTCAATCTGAAAATCAGTCCATTGGCCTGTGCCATCATCAAGGTCCTTAATACAACTTCTCAAGCCATAAACACTCTGAGCATTGAATTAAAACAAGTATGAGAAGCTATACTAAAAAATTCAGCAGCCATTATTATTGATTATTAAAACACCATCATAGATGTAAAAACTTTAAAATCTATTCACTGCATTAAGTTATCTAACAGTTCCGAACTCATTAAAAACAAGTAAACATGTATAAAAAACATAGTCCAAATAAAACAACAAACGAGATTTTTCAGAATATCCAAAACTTCCTATCTAAAGTATTGTCATAATTACCAACATTACCTAAGTCTGTACTGTTATAGTTATTCTTATGTTGTATGTTATAAGATGCTTAATATGTTACAAAATACAATGTATACCATTCATATGTACTGGCTGTTTCCCAATTTTTTGTTCTTTTTTAGACAGAGTCTCACTTTGTCACCCTCCATAGAGTGCTTTAACATCACAGATCACAGTAACCTCAAACTCCTGGGCTTAAGTGATTCTCTTACCTCGGACTCCCAAGTAGTTGGGACTACAGGTTCTGGCTACAATACCAGGCTTTTTTTTTTTTTTTTTTTCATTTAATTTTTAGAGAGGAGCTGTGGCACTTGGCTCAGGCTGGTCTCAAACTCATGAGCTCAAGCAATCCACCAGCAGTAGCCTCCCAGAGTGCTAGGATTACAGGTCTGAGCCACAGGGCTCAGCCTTGTTTCACAACTTTCAAAAACAAAATTAACCAGTACAACCCGCATCTCAATTTAACTAACTATAACAAATTTAAAATAATTTTCATTTTAAATCAATTTCACAGATGAGAAAATAAAATAAATAAAAGTATAGAATGTGGTTGACACAGACACCCCCGCAACCTTTCTTAGCTATTTCTGAACTGGGAATGCATTTTAAAACATAGGAAGAGGAAGTCAGTCAGACAGTCCAAACCAGAAATAGGAAATAAAGATAATAATCGTGAAAGAAAACAAAACAAAACAAAAACCAAGGAAGTATTGAGGCACCATAGAACAAGGTAATAGCATGTTAAAGATGTTACATTGACGGCTAGGCGCCTGTGGCTCAAGCGGCTAAGGCGCCACCCACATACACTTGAACTGGGGGGTTAGAATACAGCCCATGCCCGCCAAACACCAATGAGGGCTGCAAACTAAAAATAGCCAGGCTCCATGGCCGGCGCCTGCAGTCCCAGCTACTTAGGAGGCAGAGGCAAGAGAATTGCTTGAGCCCAGGAGTTGGAGGTTGCTGTGAGCTATGATGCTACAGCACTCTACCAAGGGCGACAGCTTGAGGCTCTGTCTCAAAAAAAAATTTTATTGATGATGAATTTTGATTACTTTTAAATTGTCATATGTATTTCACTTGCCTACATGTTAATCACATAAGTATATTTCTAGTACACTTGTGAAATCATACCCTATATAAAGTATTAAAATTTGTTACATACAAAAGACAGCATTTAAAAATTACTCTCCCTGTTCTCCGAATTACTAGCCTGTCCCATAAGAAAGCCTTTATACGAGTCAACTCCTTGTCCCCGTGTTTAACTACAAAGATAGGTAACAGGGTAAGCCACCGGGTCAGGACCTCAAAGAATAGAGGGGTTGAGGGCCCCACAGACCACAGTCCCTCCATGAACAAACCTCACACCCTCAGTTGGGATTCTCCCCTGAGGACCCTTCTACTGTCACCCCGAGGGAGGGACCCCGGGCGCTGCAGGCACACAGCTGCTCAGGGAGCTCTGGGCCGTGGCCCACGTAACAGCTTCAGAAACGCTTGGAGCAACAGGGTCCCAACTCCCTGCCCCTTTTGCCAAGTGGGCTCCCTGGGCCAAGGGGTGCCGGTGACAAACTTTAGTCTGAAGACTCTAAAACCGAAGGGAAATGGCCCGGTCCCGCCACAGCCACTTCCGGCTCCAACCACGCCCCTCCCCCTCTCAGAACACCCAGTCTCCTGTACTCACCATTTCCCAGCTCCCGGGATGTCCCGGTGTCCTCCCTACAGATCTCCCAGTACCTGCAGGTCACAGGGTGACAAGGGCGGCTGCAGAGACACCTGGGATCTCCGGGAAATGAAACAGCAGGTGAGGAGGCCCCAGCTCGCAGACCAGCTCCAGAGACAAGCTCAGAAACCAGGTGCCACCTTCTTCTTTCTGGCTGTGCATCTGATTGGACAGTTAGTATTGAAGCATCCCTGATTGGATAGGGCTTAAGACCCCACCTCTTTGACCTTGAGCGACACGAATGCCATCCAACAAGAGGCTGGAAATGGCCAGAATGCAAATAGTTTCTTCCCCATAGCACTTTTTTTTTCTTTTAAATGAAGGGCAGGCTGTAAATCCCAGGTACTTGGGAGGCTGAGGCAAGAGAATAGCTTAAGCCCAGGAGTTGGAGGTTGCTGTGAGTTGTGATGCAACTGCACTCTACCCAGGGTGACAGCTTGAGGCTCTGTCTCAAATAAATAAATAAATAATAAAATAAATTAATAAATGAAGGGCATGGATCATGACTTTCTTCATCTCTATATGCCAGAGCCACTGTGCATGCCATACAGTAACTGTTTAACAAATTCAATAAAAGGAATGAAACTCTATTTATTATATAAATAGCAGTTAGACTTTGCTGTGAAGGTGTTTTCAACATACATCATGATGTCTAGGTAAAAACATGCACATAAAGAACTCAGGGACTCGGCTCGGCGCCTGTGGCTCAAGCGGCTAAGGCGCCAGCCATATACACCTAAGGTGGC